GGATGGATGGATACAGGATGGATACAGGATGGGTGGCATTGTAATGAAAGTAATGATATAAAAGTACAGATAAAACCTTAGTCTTGTAAGGCTATTTGGATCTTGTCTATTATAAAGTGTCTCTACTTGTAGGTCAAATTTCCCACGACAAAATTTGCTTGTTGCATAGTGTCGTTTGGTCTGGAGTAGTGCAAATTTTAGATAGTTAGCCCTCTTCAGTGCAGTTTGGAAATTGGATGGAACCTCACACGGAATGGAATTGCACAGAAATATCAGTAGCAACGGGATTGAATGCCATTTTACAGGGTAGAAGAATAAATGAGTGTCTTTGCTGGTTCCGTGTTGTTTTTTAACGCATGTCAATAGTCTCTCTGATATACTGGAGGACTCTAAGCGCAGCACATTTCGTATTCATATGTAATATGATGGTTTTTTTAGCTCTTTGCAATGGCGATGAGCCTCTTTTAATTTTGCCTTTGTACCGCACAAGTGGGCTGGCCATCAGCCCATGCCAGTAGCCCAAATACATTCTCTGTGCTGAACATATATATTCTGCACGAGCATTATATCTTCTCTTGTCTTCAGGGAAGTCTCGAGACGCTACACATATACGATGATCCAAAATTTGCAAAGAGCAAGCTTGCTTAAGTAGATGAATATAGTGCTCGGTAAGCTTCAGTATGGCATTAGGTCAGTTTCTTAGGTTTTTTTAACCAAACCAATTAGCAAGTCTTAAATATGTTTTGTGAAACTAAACCAGAATTGGTACTAACTTGAGTAAACAAAATCAAGCATATTAATATATTTCTGAAAGTCTATTTAATTTCCTTTCTTCTAAATATATGTGATTTTGCTATTGGAGATATCTACTCAACAGCCAGTGCTTTAGTGAAGTGAAAGCAGTTGGCGAATGCAAAGTTGCGTCCTTTTCTTAAAAGACAAACGGCCAAATCATATTAACCTGGACAGCATAAAATATACTGCCTTTTAATGATAGGGGAGATTTGTTATCCTGAAGAAACGGGATGCTGAGCCGCATCAAACCAAGAACGAATCGGGTGGTCAAAAAATGGCAAAGGGACACCAGAATGCCTTGTGGGTTTTTGTACATTACAGGGTATGTTGATGTGTCGGTCTATCTGCATGGCACCTGCGCGAATCATTAAGTGCGAATCACATGGGATTTTGTTCACCAATATGATTAATTTCAGCAAAAAATCATTGCTGCTAAATGCACTAAACAATGCAATGGAAAAAATAAAAAGGAGCTAAATTCATTTTTTGTGTTTTAATGTGGATGCTGTTTTGATGTATATAAAACACCGGGAGTTAGCAGCAAATAACCTTAACTTCGCCATATCCCGCCTGTGGGTTTGTTTACCGGTACGGTAATAAAATTTTTTAAGTCTTTCTGACCTACAATAGGCGAGTAGTAAACCGCATTTCGTTTCAAAAATGAGTTATTTTACATCACATAGCCCATTGGGTCACGCGATTCAGTAAAACAGGTTTTTCAATTCACGCGGTACCCGGTGTTCCTCAACATGGCACGCGGACTCCAGAAGATTCAATCACAAAAGAGAAATCAAGAAAGGCAAAATGCGAAAAAGAATCCATCTGATAATAAGAAAACGGCGGATGCCAAACTAGCCTTCTCGTGTTGTGTTTGTAAGACGCAGATGCCAGACCCGAAAACGTATAAATTGCACTTCGAAAGCAAGCATCCTAAAGCCGAACTTCCAGCAGAACTTCGCGATCTCTAGATTTTCATTTTTTTTCCTATGGGTCTTGTGCTAACAGTTTTGTTAACCCTCACCTTCTTATGAACTCTTTATGTAATATTAGAAATGCTATAATTAAATTTTCTCGAGGAAAATTTGTGTTTTATTCCCTCCATAGTGGCCTCTTACGCGTAAATCTTGTTCCGTTTTTGCTCAATTGGATAGGTGTGGCTTTTGTCCTCCTAGGAAGATGGAGCTTTCTCAGGATAAATCTGATCCCGACTTCAACAAGTCTCTTGAATCAAGACGCCTAACAGTCCCTCCCTTTACTTATCACTGTCGCGGCAAAGAGATTGTGTTGCCGGACAAAACCTGTGCTTACTCAGTCTCGAATGGCAGCTTGACTCCCGCAAATATGGGAATCGTTATTGTACATGACATCTTCGGTTTCGATATCAATAATACTCGACGTTTCGCAGATATGCTTGCTGATCAGACCAACGCTCATGTGCTGTTGCCTGATTTCTTTCATGGTAAACCATGGTCCCTGGATGATTTTCCTCCAAAGCATACCGAAGTCTTCACTGAATGGCTGGAGAAAGTCAGCTGCTGGGAAGATGTTTCTGCCGTATGGCACCTTTTATTAATTTTGTGCATCCTTAATTGGGAACAGATCACTGTTTAACTCTCGCTTTTGCTCGATTTAGCTCCTGTCCACAGCAAATACCTACCTCAGAACCCTTCTTGCTGAAGAGCATCATAAGAAGTTGGGTATTCTCGGCTTTTCGTGGGGTGGAAGGCAGGTTCTACGTGCCTGCTGTTCCCGAGATTACGGCTACCTAGCAGGAGTCTCAGTTGATGGCCTCATGCTCGAGCCGGAAGATGCTGAAAAACTCTCTATCCCCGTGTTCTTTATGCCCTCTGGTGAAGATACTTCCATTGAACCTATTAAAAGGATTCTAGACAAGAGGCCGTTTGGTGATCGGTGTAGGCGAGTGCTCGGTTTTCGACTTTTCTATATCAGCTTAGGTTCAAATGTATATGCTTGTCCAATCATTGTTAGCCAGACTTGTTGACTCATTTGGAGGAAGTTTGGGTAGTCTTGCCTTGTTTTCACGCCTATTGTGTAACTTACTTGGTTGTCTTGTAATACTCGGTGCACGCGATCTTTTCAGCTGCACTTATGAGTCATGTGAAACCTCGGAACACTTTATTAGAGGCACATTTAAGGAGGAGTTATGCTTTCGCTAAATTTAGAATTCTTCGACATCGTGGCTTCCACATTTATTTTGCTCTGGTTCTTAGTTTAACCGCGTGTAACCAACTAATTCACTAACTAACAGATGTTTTGTAGCCATACGCCATCAAAGATCGAAAACGCTAGTAACCTAGACTCTGGCATGGAACGATATGCTAGGTCACGCTTCAATTTATCAGAGCGGCCGTCATGTAGAATTTGTCGAAATTACTATAATTGACTCAGTGGGGGGTGTAATTTTGTCTATCTCCATACAGGTACTACACTTTCGCGGAAGAGGGCCATGGATACGCTTCGTCTCTGGGGGACCTGAATAATCAAAACACTCTTGAAGCCGTGAATCAAACTATCACTCTTGCATCGGCCTTCTTTATTGAGAATCTCAAGGAAGAGGAGGCAGAGGATGGCGCTGAGGATGAGGCATCTAACAGTGGTGTTCGGGGTCACTAGACTCCCACTAATTTTCCAATCAAAAGAGACCCGCCGATTTTTTATCCTTCAACATCTTCCTTTTCCTTTCCCTCCTTCCTTTCCCCCTGTTTCCCTCCCTCCCTCCCTCCCTCGAATCTCCCCTTTACTTTTGTCACTGCCTGTTTGTGCGTGTGTCTATGTATGCTTGGGAATTTCAAAAGCTGTAGTTGCAATATAATTGCTATGTCAAGGTTGAGTTTGTCACTCAAAACAGAAGGAGAACAAACGCGCAATCTGTCCAGACACTTGCCAGGTGGGTAGGGCACCCGCTCTGAACTCCCGTTTAGAAGGCCTCTTTTTCCAATTGGTCGCCATGTCTCCGCAGCTTTGTTTATGTGGACCTGAAGTCTGTTCTGATAATAATTTTGATGTCTGTATCTCATCAATTTTTGCACGTGCAAGGCAATGTGGGTAGTAAAATGGCACGCTACATGCGATATCTGACACCGGTTGCGAGGTCACAACGGTGCGTTGCAAGTAGGCAGATTTGAAATGACCTCTATGGTCTGACGGAGCTTTGTCTAAAATCCATCATAGCGGTTTATTTGACTTGACTGGTTGATTTGACGCGTTGTCAGTGCAGACGCCTGGCTGTGATGAGGTTGTAGGAATGCTTGTCCGATATCCCGGAAGACGATGCTCAACATAGCTTGTAATCGCTACTTATGTTAACCAGTAGACCGCGCAGTTAAAACGCGCCCATTACCGTTTCATGATAAACAACAATATTGCATTGAATACTAAGAGGTCTTTAATTTGAAGTTGAAAAGAGGATTTCGTGCGTCACTAGTGTAAATTTCTCCGTGAATATTGTCGAATGGATCGCACGATTCAAATGAAGCGGTCGTGTGTGAGCAGTGTCCACACCCGCCTTTCTCTCTAGGCACCCAGCTAACTGTCCACCAACCATACAGCACCGACGACGTTATGATTATCTAACCGTTCACCCAAAGCAAATAGGCTTACCTAGACCTGTCACACCTGGAGTTGTGGCGGTGACACTGCGCTATGGCCTGATAATTGACGGGTGCTAACCACGTCCCCCGTCCCGCTAAACCCAAAGACGCCGCCACTTGAAGGCATTGACATTTTGGCTTTGCCATCTCCGCAGTGCTAAATCCGTGCCTTGGCACGTGATTTGACTGTATACCACCTTCAAAAGTGTGCTGTTTTCGTTTCGCCAACACCAATGGCGACGCGTGGCAGGCCGTCCTAAGGTGGTTCAGCAGTACTGACACGCCTTTCTGCTTTGCAGGCCTTGGGTAAACACGAAGGCTGATGTGTAAATTTTCAACGTTTTCACTTCTAGCAGTTCCTTTTTCTTTTTAGCAAAAAGAGAGACTCTTGTTTTTGGTATGGATGAAGACCTAATGCTAATTGCAACGTGCCGAGGCTTCACCGAAGTTGCATGTATTGGTAGAACATAGCACGTACGAACGCAGGGAGGCTGCTGCCATGACCTGGAGGTCATGCTGCAGAGCAGAATTTCAACGCATCCTATTTGTGTATTTTTGTCTCATCATCATGAGCAACTTTTCAAATCTACTGGGTATTGCAAATGCCATCTGGGTCAGTCCTTAGAGCTTGTGGTGGTACTCCATTAGATTTTCACAAATTTAACAGTTGACTTTGACTGTCACCTCTTTATCCTTTCACTTCTCATTAATTCTTTCCCTCCACCTCTTCTTGGTGTGCATGCGTTTGTTGTGACCCACGGAGACCAACGACGCGATGTATGCAATCAGGGAGTGGGGAAGAAAGTGGCCACACAGGTAGGGTGAGAAAGTGATTGAAGGAGAGAGGAAGGGAGGGATAGAAAAGTCTTGCCATTGGAAGGTGTGACATCTGTTGTGAGTCCAGGCTGAAGGAGTTTCTCAAGGCTGTGTAAAATTTCCCAAAGAAAATTGGACCTCAAGCTAATAGATCTGCGGAAGCCAAGGTCACCTGTATTTTCAATAAATAGACAGATTGAAAAAGAGAGGTCTTTCCACACCCATCCACGCAGAACGTTTGTCTCGAATTATTGTTCTTCACACGCCAATGCAATTGCATCATCCAGCCACGAGCGCCAAACAATGCAGCGGGTTCAGTCACATGGTGTGTACAAAGTGAAAGGTGATATTCAACACTGATCACGCAGTCGCAGCATCATATTGTAGCAAAAAAAGGTGAATCAAATTTCTCGTTTTTGCAGCTTTTTAAACACTTTCCGCAGTCCCGTTGTTGTACAGCTCGTTTGACATTTGTTGTGGCTGAAATTTGTGCGTCAAAACACAAGGACGTGTCTGTTTACTTCACATGGGTAGGCCACTAGACGTCCCCACATTATGATGGCATGAACCAGCTCGATGTTCGTTCAAATGCCTGTCTGCGACTTGATGTATTCACCTGACTATTTGATAAACAGTGAGGTGGATACATCAGAACTGTCGGAATATGCAGTGTAGTTACAGCGTTATTGCAGATGGTGATGGTGGGAGGCTTCGCACCGCAGCGTCCATCATAATGAAGTATTTACAAGGTCTCATTTCTGTGATAACTCTAGACCTAGTTTGCCCCTAATCGCACGAAATAACCGATTTGTAGTAGAGGAGAGCCAATTGTATGGCGGCCTCAGTAGTGAGGTGGTTGATGTCAGACGACAGGCAACGCGCTGTTTCATCATGCAGGTCACACTCTCTTTATAAAAAAAATCATCAAACGCTGCTAACGTTGACTATGTCGTCGATACTGCGGTGGGTTTTACTAACCATCTGCAAAGAGAATGTTTGTAATTGTGAGTCCAGCATGCATCGATGTGTTTCCATGGAAGAGTATCTCCGCACGATGTTGGAATCGTCCACTAACTGAACATCCGTGAGAGTGAACATGTTTGTGTAGTGAAATGTGCTCAATGGAGACATCAGGCAAAGGTGCTGTGTCCAGTTACTACTTGATAAACAGAAAAAAGAAACTTTTCCTGCATTGCTGTAATTTGCTACTGAAATTCATAAGTAGGGCAATTTGTCCAACAACTTGGGCGTCAACTGTGGAATGGTGATACGCCAACGCACCGCCCACAGACGACCCTGAAAGACAAATGAAGAGATCAAAATAAACACGTTGATAGCCTTTGAATTGTCAAATTCGTAGATTAAATATTAATTGTAGTGCAGATGGAGAGCACTATAATTGGTGTTTGTATTTGGAGTTTGATGCTTCCTTGCCCAAATGGTTTATCCATTCGAGCGTTTACTGAAGTGCTCACTTTAACCCACAGGGGGATGCGTGCACACTCATAAATTACTCCTCTTTCGAGTTTTTAAAAGCTTCCATTTCCACGACTGATGCTCGGACATTCTTCAAGCACAGTGAAATCACCCTAGTCCCCGTCAGTCTCTACTAGTCAACCATACCTCCGCGCTTACTCGTACGCGCCAGTGGGCAGTGGTGTCTATTTCGAAGTCTTAGTCTACTGATTATACGAGTAGCAAGTGATTTGGACACAAGCGAATGCACAAACATCGGTTTATAACGCATTGAGGCTACCGCGTCATTTGTAGTAGTCAATGCTCGCGTTTGAGCTCGTGTGGACACACAACTTCTTCCACTTGGTAATTTGATTCACATTCTACAGTTGATCATCTAGCCTGTCACTATAGGTGAGTGAAGGCAGATATTAAACATTCACAAGTAAAATTCACTGCACTTCGGTATCAGTTTTTTGTCAAAAGCCTGTTGAGGTCAACTTGAGAAATACGGAGTATGTGGCTGTCACGAAAGTGTGACTGATGCCCAGCCTTCTGACTGCAGTCATAACCACGAGTAGTAAACTAACCATCCAAACACCGACTTGTGAATCCATCAGTACATCAACTAGGTAGATTGAGGTTCACACACTGCCAATCAAATGGTCGGTTATACCAATCAACAATGATTTGTCAAATCGTATCTGCATACATAGACTTTGAAATGAAAGTCGTCATCATTTGTGACTTTTAGATGCTAGCAAGTTGATTTTTGCAACAAGTGGGGGTTGAAGTGCATTGTTCAGCGAAAAGGGAAAGCATTGGTTAATCCCAAATAATCCACCCACCAGTCCACCTCCTTCACCAACTCATTCTCTCAGGTTTATGCCATGCAAGTCAACCAACACAGCTCGCTGTTCCCTAAGGGTGGAGGAGAGGCACGACCACAGTGTTCGTATTTCTCCTATGCTTCCCAACATGATTGCCAACTACATGACACTCACTAGCGACATAGAGAACTACACAGTGTTAGATACATCATCTACATGGAGTTAGATTGACACTAAAGCCAACACTTTACTAGTTCTTGCAACGCTTAAGGCGCCATTACTGCACCCTATTAGCGAGGGGTCAGAACATGGCTAACACCAACCATCTAGAAGTGACTTCGGTGTCTCGTGGATTTAGCAGTCTTGCTTCGGTGAAGGTTTGGGAAATCAGGGCAGTATATATTTGCAAGTAGTAGTAAAGCCATAACAAAGTGTGAGAAGATCTGTGGCATATGCTCTGCTTCACACCGATTCTGGTACTCTTTACTTTCAAATTGGACGTCTCATATGTCGCTTCTTCTAGACACTAGCCTTAGTGATACAGCAGCAGAAGTTGCGATAGACTAGTGCCGAACATCGAGATTGGTTTGGATATGTTTGCTATGATCAGTTAGTAGCAAGAGAAGACACAATAAAAATGATCATTAAGCATTGACTTGACTTAAAACATTAAAGAAGATGAACTGCTCGGTGGCACATTGGTACAATTATTTACAGTGGCATGGCTTTATTGCAAAATCCCGGGAGGAAAACGCTTGTACAGGTGTAGATGACATCTCACAAACAAGACTACGAAGGAACTGAGGTGAGTAAATACTAGTTGGAGAATTCGCCACCTACTACTATGATACTGCTCTGGAGTATGCGATCACCTCACTCTCTCGGCGGGTCTGGAATACAGCTTAGGTACACATAATGCTGGTCCCCCACTAGCCAAAGAAAAAACAAGCGTGTGCATGAAATTTGAGTGCTTAAATGAAAACCCCTTGGTTTTTTTAGTATGTCTTGAATATAAGCACCTTTTTACAAATAGATTGTGAAATAGGATTGTAGTAGCAAAGGTGAACCATCTCCCACATCAAAGAATAACAATAGATTGCACGCGATGGACGACAATTTATGTTTTAATGCGCATTACTGGTTTGAGGTAAATTCACAGTGAACATTTTATAGGGTAACTTTTAAACTGTCAATGCACTGTCCGCTCAAGTCGAATTAGCCACGTTTTCCTATATCTTCCGATCGTAGCAGCCTAAGAGGTCGTTGACGCAGGTGCTGCATCTCATCACTTCACCCAATGTAGAGGTACTTTTTATTGTCAGATTTACTTCTTTTTGCTGTAATCTGCTAATTTTGAGGGTCTTTTTCGTTACTATATGGTAGGACTAATAGTTTCTCTTGAGGTTTCCCGGCAGAAACTATTTTTTAGCCAAGCGCCTTTCACACTGTGGAGAATGCCACAATGTCACATGGCCTTCGTCGGGGGCATGGAGTAGTTACGATACCGCTACAGGAAATTTAGGTGTAGCGTGGAAAACTGTAAGGCCTTTTTTGTGGGTCGAATTTGCTGACGACTCATAGTTGTTGACTTAAAACCCAATGGCTTTCCCATGTCGTATGGCCATAGTGAGCTGCTACAATTGCCAGTAGGATAGTGCGTTCTAACGGACCATTCTGCCGTGTATTTCCGACCGCATTATGTACTCATCATTTGGCGAAATCGCATGTAAACTGAAGACTTTGAGCGAGTAATGTTTCCAGTTTTCATGACTGGATCTTGCTGGCAAACCGATGTTAGCTACTACGGGCAGCACCCAGATAAGTTAAAGAACTCTGATTTTCTGTGAGCCCTACTGAGTTATGAATGCAATCATCGGAGTCGCGGCTCAGATTCGGGGTGTTTAGCGGAATGTTCTTCGTCTTCGTTATTGATTATTTGTATTTAAAGCAAGCAGAAAATAGTCATATTCACTGCATTTTCTTGGATGTTTTTCTCACAATCTGCCAAGGAAATACGCTGAGCTGCTGGTCGATTTTCACTTTGGCTGAGCTGTTTGATAGGAGTAATTCGCCATTTTTGAATAAGAAACCAAAGCGATCTTTTTTTACATACAAAACTTTTAATTGTTTTTCTGCTGCATTTTTACACTGTTTTGTACGAAAAATATAGTTAGTTAAATAAATCTGGATCGTTGGAATTTGGTTGGCCGTCCCCTTTCATAGTCATTCTGGGTTTGTTAAATTGCAAAGCAATCGGATTTTTTTTTCTTAGAAAATGTCTACTGACTCTGTGGATGTCGAGGAACGCAAGCGCGTCTTTAAGTTTTATAAATGTTTTCCTGATGAACCAAAACAGCTGGAAAATCTGGATACATCTTTGAGCGCTTTCGTCACTACAACAACACTAACTAGTAACTGTTTTGAATACAACCTATCTTTGTTTAGACTCAATCAATGGCTTCTTGGAACCATCTTTTGTTCTACAGCACAATCTCACTGAGGAATTTTTTCTTCTCCGGTCCGCTATCCCTGAACCTGCTTTTCTGCCCTTTTACGAAGAAGCTCTCTTTGACTGGCCATTTGCTTCCTACGCAAGAAATAACCTTTCGGAGTCAAAGATCGATTCAGGGTTCTGGTCCAAAAGTTTTCTTGAGTTTTCGAACCCTAGCGGAACCAATCAACTTTTGGGTCGGTTGCGTTGGGTCACTCTCGGCTACCACTACGATTGGGAAAAGAAAATCTATCCCCCAGGCTGTCAATCACAATTTCCAACAAAATGTGGAGATTTTTTCAAGTCTATAGCGTTGACAATATCCGAAGTAATTGGCGATAGACGGGACCTACTTACTCAAAAATCTTACTACGATAACTTCATTCCTGAGGCATCTATCGTGAATTACTATCGCAAAAGGACCACAATGGGATTTCACATTGACGACTCTGAGGTTTGCAAACGCGCACCTCTGGTATCCATCAGGTAAGCTTATGCAGACACTAAAACCGGTAGCAAATAGCCTTGGCCGGCCATGTATATTCCTTCTGGAAGCCTCAACATGCATTCCGGGACACCTACCTCACGGAAATATCGGTAATACGGCAAAGACTATAATTCCCATTCTACTGCAGCATGGTGACATAATGGTGACTGGGGGTCATAGCAGATTGGCTTATCATGCCGTTCCCCGTTTGTTATCATGGCGAAATGCTTCCCAATGTCTGTCGCACGATTTCTTTCCAAGCCTTCTCTCTGCATTCAAAAAACGGTTTGGAGAAGATGGAATTCGCGAAAATTTAGAGAAGTACGTCCTCACCACCCGATTGAATGTGAATGTCAGACAGGTTAATGAATAAAATTGCGATCTCTTATTGTGTATTTGTGTAAGGCGAAATAAAGTAGCTTGTCTACAAGTCATCAGTGATTTCATCTGCGCATTCGCACAACTGCAAGATGCGTTTTTCAAAATCCGCCATTTCGTGAGCCGTCCTTTCAAATTGGGATTCACCCCAATCCTCGAATGTCAAATCTGCCACAATTATGGGATTTCCCTTGGGCTGCGGGATAATGACAGGATATCCTGAGAAGAAATTAACCGGTGTCCCGTATTCCCCATTGCTGTATACCACCATTGACGTCCAATCCTAATGTACAAATTGAGAAAGGGCATTCCCCTACCTCATTCGTTCCAAACCATAGGTCATTGACGTGATCGATAATGGCCTTGGCTTTCAGAATGGCGATTGAATCGGCAGGAGTACACTCAGAACTCCAATTTTGAACATATGGCTGAAGAACGTGTTTCATCCAGTGTTCGTTGTTGATTAATTCTGTTGCGGGTTTAAATGCACCATTTTCCATTTGAACCTTGGAATGCGTGATGTCAATAAAGGCGCCAGATCCCGCATTTCCCCAAATTAGAACATTTTTAACCGCCTCTACGGGCGCGTTAAGTTTATTGGCAACCTATATTGTGAAGTATCTTGATTATTTGCCTTTACATACTTGGAATGTAGCCCTATTTTGATCCATTCGTACCAAACCTGTTATACAGGATTTGGGTAAAGATGGGGTATATTTGCTTAAGATATAAGCATTTGTATTGACTGGGTCGCCGGTGACTATAATCTTGGTTGTTTGCTTGCCATACTTGTCGAGATATTCGCCATGACGTCTGTAAACTTGCCAGCACTGTTTTAACCTCTCGTTTTTGTGAGCATAGGAAGCTGCCTCGATTGTGTCCAACATGATAGCCACATCAATATCCTTAAATGCTAGATCTGGGTCAGTGGTTGTGTGAATATCTTCCAAGGGTTCTAGTCCACTGTCTTGGGCTTCGTCAACAAGCACCTGTAATTGCGAGTCCTGGGCAAACAGGTCATAGAGAGTAATTGTGACGGGTTGATTTTGTCCGAACATTTCTCCCCGTCCTATAAAAAGGATCAAATCATAGGCTTCGGGTCGGGTGGGTGCTGTTATTAGGACTTTGACGGCATCAACCTAAATGGGAGGAGTAACGCCAGTTGTATTCGCGTACCATCGTAGTCAGAGTTAAATTGCCCAAGGTCACCAATTGCTGGCCCACTAAAACATTTCGTGGGACATTACAAATAATGTGACCATTATCTTTCTGGTAACTGAAGACAGTTGGAAACCCCAAAAGCGTTTTGTGGTATTAGTTATAGCCAAAATTGCCGGCGACGCATCTGATTTGATAAATATATTTTGTTAATAGACGTTAGGTAATGTTTTAATATCATTAAATGGTACAAAACCCCTCGGCCAGAATTGTAATGAAATTTGTACTACTCTAGCGTCCCAAGACTTTCTTGAAGACTAAAGAAGACAATACTCGGGCAGAATGCATATATCCAGCACTGCGATGGTGTTTGGGCTACTGGCATGGCCCAAAGGCCAGCCAACACAGCGTGGCACAAGAAGGCAAATTTAAGGGTCCAAAACCATGGGATAACCCACCATCGTATTACCCTACATCTGAATAGCACCCAGTTTAGCCCTCAGCAAGGTCATATTGGGGCGTTTTTGCAAATCATTTCCATTTATTCCTTAAAATTCATAATTTGTGAATTAGTAGTAGTACTAGTAGTACTAAAGCCCGTAAAATATCGGACTTTTGTAGTCTGTCTCAAGCTGCCTTTAAAATTAGTCCAAGACCCTAATTTGGCATTTCTGACTTGATTATCTAATGTCTATGCTTATACAGCACCCCAAGATTTCCCTGAAGTCAAAAGAAGGTACAGCATTCTTACAGCATATCCACTGTTGACGTACAGAGGGAACTGTAGCTACTACCCTGGCCCGAAGGCCAGCTCATCCTGTGAAGTAACAATAGCAAAGCATACAAGAGCTCCCCTTCTCAAAACCAAGCTTTTAACAAACAACCAACCCATTACACCTTGATAATACATTGGTTGCTCACCTCACGGTTTTCAGTTAAGGGAACAATTTGAGTCTTCGTTATTGTAACTTCGCCGGGTGGGCTGGACTCCGGGACATATTAGCAGCCTCGTGCCCTACTGATGTCAATTGCATACATTCTGCCTAAGTAGTAAACCCTTTTTTCGGGTTTTTTTTTAGGGAATTCTTGGGTTGCAACATTGGTGTCAGCGGGATGCAAACCCGATACTAAAGGACAATGATCTTGACTTTTACTGCTGAGTCATAATCCTTGGCATATTTTAGGGATGGGAGATCGTTAACAATCCATAATAGAAGGCATCTACCTTAGTCTCTTTTTTTCGGGGAAGCCGGAAACCATCTGGAAAAACCTCATTACGGAGCTGCTCACAATGCCCGTATGAAGATGTCAATTGTGTGAACACGCGACACATCCTTCACTTCTTCACTAACTGGAGAGAACCCAGATGTCCATGGCAAAGCAGCACTAAAGTCGGAACGACGTGCCAATAGGGGATAAATGCAAAACCTCACCTCTATGGAGTCGGGCTGAATCCCTTCCTTTTTTACAAAACTCTCATTTTGAGCCAGTGTTCTGATGACATGCTATGGATATGCATGCTGGCCAACACATTCCCCTGTCCCTGAATCCATTTCCTAGATAAGACGAAACTTTAGATCCAGTAGAATTGCTACAAGAGAACAGTCACGTTGCGACCTAAGTATCTTTACACTTGGAGAGAAATTAGATGACTGGCTCATGGGTGTTTCCTTACAGCACCGACTACGTTATGATGGGGCAACACTTAAAAGAGGAGAGATGTTATGCATGACGTTGGTTGTTTAATTCGTGGTTTTTGGTAAAGGGGCTGCTTTGGGTCTCCATTATTGTGCCTTTGCCGAGTGGGCTAGCCTCAGAGGCATGCCAATATTTATATCCTACCCAAGTATTGTGCTTTCGTCTCTTTTCGTCTTTGGAGGAGCCTCGAAGTGTTATGCAGTGTCTAACCAGTTTACTTTTTGGAATTTCAACTTAAAACCATCTTGTCTGGAAAGCAGGAGCAATCGGTTTAACCTAAGTTCTAGCTGAAAATGGGGTAGTCAGTTACTAATTCGATCGAAATGTCATTTGATCCACCAAATATTAGCATAATTCTGTGTCTGTAACTGAAATGCTTACGATGCACAGCCGTAAGGACAGCTACTTGACCGTTCAAATGTCTGAACATTTCCTACTGATGATAGAATTGCCACTTTGTTGGATGAGCCGCATATAAATTTGGCCCTCTCTTAGCTTTTGCTCAATTTTTGTATCAAGGAAACTTTAACGTTAGTATGTCTTGCCCTCTGGCTCTCCTTCCCATCGCCGCTAGCTTTCACAAGAGCTAATCCCATCTCCTGCATTTTCCACATTCACTTCTGCCCGACTAACTACCTATGGCCATATCATGGAAAGGGTAGCAATCTCCGGTCATCCGCGATTCACTGCCAGCCTCATTGTGTAGGAGGCTGGTTCTGTCTATGCAACATTGTATTTGATCATCTTTTTAAAATCTTGTTTGTTAAGCACGAATCTTACCCTATAACCCACACTTACTTAAAATAAGAAGAGGGCCTTATTTTTATAAGTAAATTAAATCAAACCGGCTAAAATGTGTGGGTAGGTGCGGTAGCTGCGGAAGCAGACGTGCAGTCCAAAAAGTCGTCTAAGTCATCGAAAACGTAGAACAGGAAAAAAATTAGTCTGGCTCTAGAACTTGACTAGATTGAGAATAAAAAGTGACCAGAAGGTGGAAGATCGGATTGAGCATCAAAATATTTTAAACACTAAAATTGCAGCACAAATATCCAAAGTTGTGCGATTCCAGCTTTGAGCAGACCAAAAAGCTGTAGGTAGACAGCTGAGGTGTATTTACAGTAACTATATTACAGTCAAATTATTTTCAAATCGAGTTTGCCAGGGGAGTCGGGGTCATTGTTGAACACATAACGAATATGCAGGGTTGGTGAAGCGTAGTCCCGCGACGAATCTGCACCAGGTAATACGCAATTTCACAAACAAAGTGTCTCTAGGATGATAACACAGAAGTAACTGATTGTAAGGTGTCCATCGCCAAAAAGCTAGCAACAGAATAATTTTTCTAGCTTTGCATTAGACTGAAATAACCTTAAATATTTATAATTTAAGGACAATTTTTCATATAAAATTTAATTTTTTTGAATAAAAATTAATAATAGTTAATAATTAGGCATATTTGCTAAAACCTAGGAGTTTGGTGTTTCGCACATTACGGCTTTTTAAATGAGGACAATAATTTAGGTAAATTATCAAAATTTTAGGTTGTTAAAATTACTCATGTTACGCTAACAACTAAACGAAAGTCGGACTTTTGTACCTTTACAAACCCAATATATATTTGCTGTTAGAGCCAGGAGTGTTTGTTTGAATCGTCCCTTTGCGCTGCTGACGATGGAAAGTACGTTGAGGTTTGATGCTCACTCGTATCACCAATTTCCAAATTATCACGAGATGGAGTCGGCGTACATGCGGTTCCTTTCTAAAGACATAGGAAAGACATCTGCTACCGAACAAGTGAATGCCCTTGTTTTCTTATGTGACGTATTTAGAAGGGGGATTCTTACTTGGTAAAGGAGATACAGAAAGTTCGCGACAACATAAAGTCTTCACTTGAAAGTGTACGTGTGGGTTGTTTGTGTACTTGCAAGTTAAATTACATTACTCCAATTCTACAAGCTACGGGTATTACTATTTGAAACTGTTATTGATGCGATCATTGCTTGATTCGATTTCTTTCTGTATTGTAGAATGGTTCGTGGAACGAGCGAATGGAGAAGCTGGAAGCAAGTATGTGTACAATGTTTTAACATATAGAACGTAGTTCAAGTGTGGTTTTGCAGTTTAAGTTGATCTTGATTTCATGCATCACGTACTTTGCCAAAGCTGTGTTTATACTTTGCAGTCGTAAAGGATATGTCTCTGCGCGTGAACGAGTTAGAAGTTCAAATCCAACGTCTGGGACAGATTCTGCCTTCTGAATCACTCAAAGGTGCCAAACCGATTAGGCCTGTTGTTGTCAAGGCACCGCCAGCTGAAGGCGGTGATGACGATGATATTGACCTCTTTGGTTCGGAAGACGTGAGTTCTCTTTTCACTTACTACACGGGTGTTTTGGCACATTTGTGTAATGCTTCTCAAGTGCTATTCTTAAAGCGTGTAGCAACTGTCGATCCTGATTTTTCGGGAGACTTGGCTAGTTGAAATGCTATTTGGCTGCGTAATCAATGAATTGGTGTTTGTTTTGGTGAATTGTGACATTTATTACAATTCGCCAATCTCTGTCATTTGGGTTGAGTATCATTTAGAATGGCCGTATTGCCTGAATGTTTATTGATGGAGGATCCAAAAATCCGAGTTTTCTTCCAGTTGGAACATGGATGCGGTTATTTGCTCCACTTCTTGGGTCAACCGACAGAGTATTTGTTGCGAATCTTGGTTTTCATGTTTCTATGGAGTGCGGGTTGAGTGTACTTTTTGTGCAATCAATTTTAAATTCCCCCACGGAATTGCATAAAGCTAAAGTTAGCTTATCTATTGCGTGTCCTTTTTTTGCTAATTTGTTGTGGTTGGTTCTTCGCGCCTACTGAAATGATTTGTGTTTGCCTAATTAGGGTCTGTCAAGTATCTTTACTATTTACGGTGTTGCCGTGTGTGCATTACTCTCGAATATATTGCAGCCATAAAATAGGTAAAAATCACGAATGAGATGGTCAGTTCCATTGTTGAAACAACTTATGCACTTTAAACTGTATAAAATAAGAAGTCTGAACTCCCGCCTTTGCTGAACTGCATTTTTTTCACGTCAATCATTTGAGCCACCCCGGGAAATTCGCTTCCTCTTCAGTGCTTCTGCACCAAATCCCTTTTTGTGTCTTTCAAGTTTCGTGATTTCGCATCTTTATTTGTTATTTTAAAGCTGCACATTCATTTTTCGAAATCTAATGTTAAAATGGCGATAGATTTAAATTTACTTAAGTAGCGTGCCCTCCCCTGGGTTCTTGACATTTGATAGATCCTCGTATTATTAAGTCCTAGAGACCAAAAAACAAGCTGTTTCTTATCTCTAATCACAGGAAGGCGAAGCGGATAAGTGCAAGCAAATGATGGCTGAGCAGAATAAGGCAGCAGCATCGAAGAAGGAAAAACCGGTGGCCAAGTCGATGATTGTTCTGGACGTGAAGCCCTGGGACGACACCACAAACATGGCAGAGATGGAGAAGGGCGTGCGTGCAATCACTGCTGACGGTCTGCTCTGGGGCACCTCTAAGCTCGTCCCTCTTGTCCATGGCATTAATAAGTTGCAGATCGCCTGTGTCGTTGAAGATGATAAGGTAGGCTTTGGACTCAATTGAATTTTTGCTACCGTGATGCCCATATTCGCTGTGATTGCGTAGATTTCATGGGAATTGTTGATTGTATGTTAGCTTATCTGTTATTTTTCGTTTGTTGTCACGTGGGTGTAGCATTAATTTGCAGCCTATTCGTAATCAATGTGGGGTTTTGCAACGTTTAGCTTGGAGTTAGCTAAATGTCAGAGTAAGTGATAAAGGAATTCATTATCATGTTTTAAACGAATGTGGATGTGCTTGGTTTGGAAAATGCTTCTGAAACAAACCTGGTTATTGTGGGTATTTGGCAGTCAAGGTGGGATTGTAGCCTAATTAGGCTTTAATCTGCTGTGGCCAAGTCCCAGTGCATTTCTCATTTTTGTCTTGCAGGTTGGTACCGACTTCCTCGAAGAGAGCATCATGGAGCTCGAGGACTATGTCCAATCGGTGGATGTAGCTTCCTTTAACAAGCTGTAACCATATCTTTCTTTTGCTCCACTTTGAATTAGCTGAAAGTATGAATAAAGCGTATCAGGTTTTTGTACATGTTATGATTCCTTTTTCAATTCATCATCTCTGCTGTTCTTCATGTAGGGAAATGGCGCATCCTTGGCGCAAATCTAAGCTAATTCAAGCCGATCTAGGCGTGCTGTCTGTAATGAAAGTGGCTGCACGCCTCCTGCAAGCACATGTGATGGACTTTCTGTGTTGCGGGCCGATTCTCCTTCATAACCAAGTGCTTGGAGTTTCGAGGCGCTCGGCACCACCACCACCGCGCATACACAGCATGTGTACATTGGGCACACATGCGCGTGGGACGAATGAATCCGCCCTCCAGTATGTGCTCTCTGCCTGAGAAAGGCGAAATAAAGTCGAGTTTACTCACGCAAAGGCATATGCTCTACTATCCGTTTGCTAACGGCGATTCTCGTTTCGCCATTGATTGGTGTGTTGCCAAATCAACTAGCAGTGGCGTTTGGCATGAGCGGTGAGGCTGCCGCTTGGCGCCCACCCACCTCAACAAAGAAGGTGAGTCGCGGTGAAAGTCGATAGGCTGATGTATCCTACCTACATTCCATGCGAGAGACATGTGTAAGACGTCGTCCCGTGTAATGCAGATTGTTTGCCCACCCCTTGACTGCGATACAGCTGGGGGGGATGGGGTGTGCTAACAAATTTCCCTCCTCAAAGACAGGCACGACCGGGTAGTTACTAGCACCAAACCCCTATTCTTACTTCTAGAATTCAGAGGAAGATGTCATATCTCATGCTGCATGAAGTACTCTGGGGAAGTCCTAGCCACACTTTAGGGTGGGCGGAGCACCCACCTTTTGTTTTCGCGACATTTTTCCAGAGGATTGTGATTTCTACTTGAGATGAGGTAGCCACCTCCGAAAGAGGCGTGTTCGTGTGGTAGCATTCTTTCTCCACTTGTTAGGCCGAAGTTCTTTCTATTTTATGAAGAAAACAACCAATTTAGTGTTTTAAGGACATTTAAGGTGCCCCTACAATTGATTACCTCCTCAATCCCCGTTTGTGAGTGGTAGTGTCTCCTTGCGAATCCGTAGTTCTGTATCAAAACACTCATTTACTTATTGGTGACAGAGTTGCTCACTTTAATGCCAAATCGCAGGGGCTGTTTAAATTTCTTAGTTTTTTTTGTAACGATGTTTCAAAAAGCGTAATTTTTCGGTTTTGACATTTCTGCCCCTTGTTTCCGCTATACAAGCTCTTCTACTTTTTTATTCTCAGTAGGGTTCATTTTAATGCGGCATTGTAATGGGGTGGTGGTCCGTATGTGATGCGTTACTACCTGAGTAGTGCTTATCTATGTAGTTTTAGTACCCCAATTCTTCTGTTTGGCCACGTCCAGACTCAAATATTACACTGGATATATGTTGATAACTCAGGCACCACAAATTAGACATCTTTACATGCTATCAACTCGTTTTATATTCAGATAAGAAAGTGTATCTTACGACATCCTACCGTCTCTGCAAGCAGTCTTCCTGATTCTTCTTGTGAATTCCGATAGTCAGTGACTGTTTTATCCTCCGCCGCAAAAAGCCTGTAGGATATATTTCATTGGAATGTATTGCTTATAACGAGTCTTTGTTCTACGACGATCGCTTTTATTTTGCCAATGGCTTTTCTTAAAAGTTGTCTTCGAAGAGCCATACCTTAAAGCAGTTCTTGATCTTTCTATGGTTGTATATCGCCTTTTCACTTCGCCATCGTTTTACTACCGGCTCGGTGCCTCATTCTCACCTTTTCTTTACAAAAAAATGGTCATCAAATTTCATCAGAAACTTGATATTTTGTCAAAAATACGCAAATACCCATTTCATAGACTATTATAACCTCTTGAGAAAAAGTGGAGACTCGGGTGGTTGCAGAAAAAGCAATGTACTTTAATCCGCTCCTCTCTTGTTATGCTTCATTTTGTCAACCATCTACGACAAATGCACTTGTTCTATGACGCTCTTCTTGTGCGTTAATCCACGATCGTATTTTACTGTGCTGCCCCCGCATTAGCGCAGAAGTCACTTCTAAAGATGTCATTAGTCTACAAGTGCCCTCCAAAAAGCCTCCAAGATCAAAAGCATCACTCTATGCCGCCATTATAGGTGCATAATCACGGGAAATTTATGTAACAGTGAACCTGGTGATTCTTCCCACATCATATCAGAATTTGTCATGTGATCACGCACAGTATAATCATACCCTTTGACTGTCCCTTACGCCCCCGATACACGTCACCATGACTAGTTGCATGCACGCCTTTTGGTTCAAACGACCAATCTAGGTTCGCTGACGGATCTGGCACGCGTCACTGAGGTTTCGTTAATGTCAAACCCCCCTGCATTGGGGGGAGGCTGAAATCTTCAAGTATTTGGACAAATTTGAATGTCCGGATCTTATCAAGCTCCAAAGCTACGGCCTCCACAATGATGGTATGCATTGTCTCGAGTGTCATCTGGGTTACTAGTCTTGCGGTTCTTCCAAACTCTCTGGACTAAAGCGCCTTTGGGAGTAAGTGGGTTAACAAAGAAGTGCCTGTGGGCTTACAGAATGAGTGGAAGAGGAGTAAATAACGACCATTGCATGAGCCTAGGAGTAGTTCAGACAGGTGAATGGGCAAATAGAAAGTCCGACGCGGCGTGATGGTATAGGAAAACTATAACTGAGCACCTCAGAGTACGCGAATCGGCAAAGGTGTCCACGAAAATTGACCGGCATATCAATTGTTCAGGTTGCGCAGCATTGTTCCACCCGAACCCGTCCACTACTGAGGCCTTCGCCACGACGTTCCGCTGTCGTAATAGTGACACCAAAAGTCATTAATTTCCGAATAATAAAAAAAGTCTCCAAACTCAAATAATGAACATCTTGCACACATATCTTATTGCTCCAAACTCAACCAGTCACATGCGTGTGACGCCAAGCTAGGAATACCTCTTCAGCTAACGAACAAAGGAGAGGCGAGATAAACTTCAACGTGACCAATAATTTGGGAATCCAGTTGTTTCTGTTGCAAGGTCCATGCCAATTCATTGCAGAATTTTGATGGCCAAGGTGGAAGAGTAATAGCAGGAGGAAGAGGAGGCGTCAGTCTAAATAAGGGAGGGACCATGAACCTCCTTTACAATTGCAGCAACCTTGTGTTGGACCCCCAGAATTTGTTAAATACCAGGGAGATTAGGCCTTGGTGGCAGTGATATGGGCCGGAGGGAGATAGCCCACCCCTCACCCACACTTTTGCCGTATTTTCTCAAGCATTCCTCAGATGAAGTGTAGTTTCTTCTTGGCCACCGACAACTACCCCTAAAATGAAAGTTTAGAGGTAAGCAGATCTGTGTATGTTTTTCCTTCTCCCATTGTCTTTTAGAAAGGCCGACAGGGTAAAGCAACACAAACCTATTTACCTGCTCGGTATCCATTCCGCATTGCTTCTGAATATCCTTTCGCGACCAGACAATCTGATCAAATCTCCCTACATTTTGAACTTAATAAACTTCGGAAGCAGTTTCAACACTGAAAGAGGCAAATCAGGAAGTTTTTTGAATTTAGTAAATACATATGCGTGTAGCGGTTGAGGTACATCTATTCATGGAGTTCTTCCACTTACATACCACTTATTTGGGAATACGCAAATGCTAATTGGCCTTTTTGTCATCTTTATCGGTGCCTTTCTGATCTTGGATGCTCCTACAAATGTTGAAAAGTGTGATCACAAGCTCATCCATTAATCTCAGCCCTACCTTTGTTCCCCACTTCACCTTACCTTCTTCCTGATGCCCTTCAGCTTTAAGCGTGTTTCAACATTCCTAGGCACACTTCGAAGCCTTGAAAACCTTAGCAGCCATGGCCCCCCTTGAGGCAGCAAATAAATCCACCTTACTTGACCAACTTCTTATTATTACTTCCCAACCAGATCGTTTCGAAGCAGCCTCGTCTATAAACTACGCTGCAGCAGTTATAGATTCGGTCGGTTGTGGAGCGCGGCTTTTCATTTCATCTTCTAAGTGATTTTCTAATCATGTATGATTGAAATCCCACTGAAAACAAAAAAACCAAATATTTGCTTATGAACTGCTCTGAAAAGTGTAAAATCAGTCCACTGAATGATAAAATTCATGCAAAAGTATGTTTTACGAGACTGTAATGCAAAAAATTGTGGTTTTTAATGATCTACCTCTGAAGGAATAGGGTTTTACCCCCCCCCCCCCTCCACTTTTACTTAATTAGGAAATCAATTAATTATTGTTGGAAATAAAATGGAAAGGCAAACTAAACATTTGTGGTCAATTTTAAAGCCGCCTACGTAATACCGTTGATTGTCACTGCGGTCAGCTGACTGAGTCAAACAGCTGATCAGCTGTTAAAGGTCGACTTCTTATTTGGGGGTAAGAAATACAACACCAAAAGTGTTGTCGAAGCTACTGTTATGCCAATTTATAGGTCAAATTTATTTGGAGATAAAAATGGTGAAAGTTGAGAGTAAATATTTTAACTTTTGCCACATTATACGAGGGTATTGAAGTCAGTGAAGCCTTCACGGCATAGGGATTGCAGAGGCAGATCGCACTACAGGCGTGAAGGAAGGATGGGAGGCAATGTAGCACCGAAGAACTCAATTTGTTATTAGTTGATGGAGAAGTAATGTGCGATTTCTACTAGTCCTCGTAGTAATGAATTACTTGAATTGTAACACATGACTCTGACGATAAAATCACTTGAAGTTGGGTGTATAACGACCAGGAACACCCTCTACTCTTTAAGAATAGTAAAGAACCACGTAATGCTAGTGGCTAAAATAAAAAGAAGTCGGCGCTGCCAAATCAACTGCCAGTAGTACTTGAAATGTGTGATGAAACGGACCGGTGAAACCTGTATCAACAGAGAAGGAAAGGCAGTGGTGAAGGCTATGTAGCAAATAAAGTCGCATCCACTTGTCGTCCAGACGATGACAACATAACAGATGGTCCGCTGATTCGAAGACGAGTAGTACATTTCCATTTCTTACCCATACGTTTGCTAACCGACTGACCAAGTGACTTGACAGGAGAGGTTTATTGCACTACAATACTTGATGGGAAAATGAATACATCCTTGGGTGTCCTCAAAAGATGTTCAGGTTCAGCACCAGAAAAAAGGTCATTTGAACCGTTTGGATTTGAGGCGATAAGTTGGGCAATCCCATATTACGTAGTCTCCAAATGTTGCACGAAGAATCCAGCACAAATTATTAGCTTAAGCTTTGAAATAGAAGTAAGGTTCGTTTCTAAAGCAGACACTCGAATGTAGTACTCAAGGTCCAACTACAACTTTATCGAACATGTTTGGGTTTAAGAGGAAAGTGCTGCAGAGGGCAATCCAGGACATCGTACAGACAGAATTATCTTGACTTGTTCTGTTTGTCATAGAAGTCTTTTTACGCACTTTTTGTTTGGAGATAAATGAACTTCTTCCCCGTTAACTAACTATGTCAATAGATTCTTAAGGACTTTTAATGCATCATAAATGTGACTAGTTAATACGAAGTATTTGTGGGGTGCGTATTTTGTTTGGAGACACTTTCGCGGTAGGAAGTGGGCAAATTGAGCAAACTTCATGACTGATGACGGCGATGAGACAAACGCTGATCACTTCATAAAACTTCGGTCCTTTGTAATTTCGAACAACACTGTAGTGTATGCTGGCTGCCTCTGAACAACCCTCCTGACTTAAGCATCTCCAACCGGAAGGGAGAAGGGTAAAGCCAAAATATACTGCCTTGCCCATTCTTCTTCACTACGAATAAAATGTGTTACATGATGTCCAGAAATTGTTATGTTTCGCTTAGTTCAAGAAGTGAAGATCATGTTTGCTGTGATCATTTTAAAAGTCTTGCAATTTTTGGGTATGAAACTATCAACCACCTCCAATTGGAAAAACAGATTTGTAGGTTTCATTGAGAAAATCTTGACAAACAAGTAGGTTTGAGAGGCTGCATAGCCTTTATTTCGATGGCACTATGAAAGCCCCTTCACGCTGTTAGTTAAGATGGCTAGTCAGCGTCCAGGGTCTCCGATAGCAACAGCAATTCTATCGGATATTGGGCAAATGCACTGTTGCACCGAGGTTTATCACTTGTATTACATGATGTATTGTTATGTTCAGCAGCCACTGCTTAGCGCCTGCATACACTAAGATTAATAAAAAAGTTTAACCACCTGTTATGATATACTTTCTGGTTTTCAGCACATTATTATGTTTGTCTGTAGGCTGTGCAACCATATCATAAATACTAGTGATAATTTTTAGCTCTTCAAGCCATATTTGTAACCTAGCGCAAATACCAATGCTTAATTTACTTCAAATATCATAGTTGTTTTTTATAGTAAGCTTAAAATTCTTACTGTAAAATATTAGACGTGTTGACCTTGGCTTGTTTTGGGTTATCATAAATCTTTTAACATGCATTGGTTCATTTTCGAAGTTTCGGAGCTGTGGCTGGGTCTGTATTTAAAATAGTAGAGATTTATTTTTATTAAAAATACCCTGACAGTTTACTTTAACTTTGATTGGTTTAGGGTTATTTGTGCCTCCATTTGCTGACTTTCAATACCTATGCTTGTCCATTAGGTGCAATTAACTCTTGCTGAGAATAAAATTTCTGGACATACTGTCACTCTCCTTTAAAAAAACCGAATGCTAAGCGTTGAGTAGTTTTTTAATTAGAGTCTACCTGACGATACAGCATTTGGCTGCATGAACCCCTAATTTGTTTTACAGACATCGCATTTCCTCCTAAACTACTGCACTTTCTAGACCACCCTGGACAGTGTTCTGCAAAAGACAAATAAATATTCCGCACGCAAATCTAAACACTCAGCATAAGCATATACCGTTGCGCGATGGAACTTTTAATGTTTTTTGGTTTTCGCCTTAAATGGAGTTTTTATGTCTTATATTTGTATCCAGACTTTCCGAAACCATGTCGTTTGATCACAGGAATATGGCGGGAAACGAGGATCTTATAAAGCGCCTTTTCAATAAGGTATTTTTTTGCAAGTTTTTTTCCTTTTCAATGCATTATTCTATTAAGGCGCTAACTTCTTACAGGTTTACAGTGCTATTCTTAGTGAAAAAATTTTTTGTCCTCCTGAAACTGCTGTCTATTTGGCTGCATATGCCTGTCAAGCAAAATTCGGTCCTGCACAGTCTCTTAGGAATCCCGTGCCTCCGGTCAAGGATCTCCTGCCAAAGAGGTGATTTTGATAGCATATTATTTTTGAATTGCATTGGGACAAAAATACCAAGTCTTGTGTCTAATATAGAGTTTAACTGTTACAGCTTGAGTGGGGCTATTTGACTAATTAATGTGCTTGTTTATTTAGCACTCTTGACAACCACAACCTGTCCATTACTGAGTGGGAAGAGCGAATTTCAAAGTGGCATCTTAAACTCCGGGACACCTCATTCCTCGATGCGATCGTCGAATATCTGGATATTGCTCAGGATGTGGAACTTTATGGAGCCTCAATTTTTGAGGTGGAGACAAAAAATCAAGGTCGACAGTGGATCAGCTTAGACGCTGTTGGACTTAATGTCTATGATAGTAAAAGGTAGGTGAGCACCTACGTGACAAAATTACCTTAATGGCCCACAAAATGGACTTAATGCTACCTTGATCTTTAAGGAAGCCACCAACAAAACGATATATTTGGTCGGATATAGCCTCTTTCAGTGCCTGGGATGACAAGATTGAAATTGCTCTCGTTCATGAACCCAAACAGGTGCGGAAATAACTTTTGGTTTTTTACTCATTCCATAATATATCATAAGTTGGACCTTTATGCCAGTATGCTTAACAAGGTGTTCTTAGCCTTATGACTCCGCATATGACTTTCACTTGTGTCTTGTGAGAGATTACTCGAATATCAGTCTCACTAAACCCTGATATTGATTAGTGCAGAAATTGTGAAGGATATATTCAAATCTTCGCTTAGATTTTATTCTAGAAAATGAGTCCGAAGTCCCTTTCTATTCTGGTTCCCCACACAAAACAGTTAATTTTGCGGAGTAAAACCTCCTGTCAAAAACAAGCTTTTTAAATATCCACACCCCTGCTGGTCTGGCGCTTTCGTTGGTATTACCAGCGGTTCGTGTTAAAGTTTAGTCACAGGGTTTGCACTCCACAAACCTTACTTTGGACTGCATTATGGGAGTCATAAAAAATACCATAAACATGCAGTTTGGGATGCAATGGCTGCTGCTCAAACCCTTATAATTATTTTTAAGTAAAATTAGTTACTTCCTTTTTAATGGTCTGTTACAAATATCTTTTTGAGAGCTTGGTTCATTGGGCTATAAGAAATCCTAGATATTTACGTTGGTTTTGGCTAAAAAGATCAATTTGAAGTGGTTTGTTTTTTGTAAGGTTTTGACAAGCACTAGGGTTTACTTATTTTTTGACATTGAACGAAGCAAACAAATGCTTTGGTCTCTTCTAGTTTTCTTACCGTGATTGTGTTAATTTTTACCCAGTTTCTGTACTTGCTCTCTCAAACAGTTTGATTTTATCGGTCAATCGACCTCCATTCATGCGATATCGGTGCTCCCTTTTCTTCTTTCAAGGTTACCACGTTCTTCGTGCAGAATTCGCAGACATGCAGCCTTTTGGAGAGCCTCTTTAAAGGCAGTAAGGAGCTTTACGCGCGTCGGAGGAAGGGCGACGTCTCCTCCAAATATGTGCGTCGGTCCGAGAGCAATTCAAGTATGCGAATGAGGTGCGTTTTTTTATTCTTAATCGAGAATGCTTCATTCAGGATGAAAGCCATAATTAGTTGGTAAGGGAATCCTCTCGTTTCACGTTTGTAGACATGGTCTTGGAGGCTCTTTGTCCATTTTAAGCGGTGAATTACACCCACCTTGAACCGGTGATTAGTGAAGTGGCAATGAAGTGGGTTAATGAATCTGCCTCCATTCAGTTTAGGCTAATTAAATTTCCCTCTATAATGTAGCTTTAAGACGAGGATTACACTTAAATGATGAACGTAGGGCAAAAAATAAACAATTCCTTTAAATTTTGCTTCCTATGTTAAAGGGGGGTAAGGGTATGCGTTCGTATATTTCCCGGGTCTAAATCTCAACCTCTTAACCTCAGTTTTGACTTGTTTAATGGTTTAGAAACATTGTTGCTATGAGGATAAGGGATTATGGTTTGAATAATGATAGTAGAAGTGTGACGTTGTTTCGTTTTCATCCCGACTAAATATTCATCCATAATGCAGATTCACTAGGGAGATGAAGGTGCTGATTTACTTAACCGTGCTTTTGATTTCCTACTTGTCTTTATACACTGCCACCCATTTCCTCTGTTCAAGTCTTTTTTTTCCAATTCATAACGTACCAGAATGAAAGGAGCTGCGCGGAATGAAGGCTGTGATGTTCATACAAAATAATTTTACTGTGTTTCTCTCTTCAGTTTTATTGAGAAGCAGACGGTAAACTAGACAAAAAGCTAGGCTACGACCTCAATATACCCAAGGCGAAAGAGAAAAAGTTTTGCAATATTTGTCAATTCACTTCAATGAGTAATACTTTTGACAAAGCCACATGGAATAGGATGTGATGAATTTTTTCGGGAACCAATATGATGCATCGGTGCTTTCGAAATTGAGGACCTTCTGAAGGTCATCTGCATTCGTTGCGTAATTTCCATTTCTACCTCTTATGTAACCTTTGTGCGTTTAGCTGCTGTTGGGTGATTGTCATACACTCGCTAACTGTGTGCATTTCTCATACCTCTCGCCAGCTAGGGTTAGGTCAGGCACCGTTCCAGTCTTCGTTTTATTCTTTCCCTTGTTTAGAGAAACATTGTCACAATTGATGAAGAACCTATTTCAATACTATCGCTGCAGGAAATTATTTATGAGGGTTGCATTCCCGTCCCAGAGTAGCTGTTCGAAAACTTGCTCTCTCAACTCTAAGGTATGGGAAGTGATGGTGAAAGAAATGTCTTTATGTCCTTTTACGAGTCCTTCGTGTTTTTCATTTCTATACGACTGACACCATTCTTTTGATAGTGCAAGATTTGTTTTGACACTTGACAATTGTCAGTTTCGCAAACCTGCTTTCTTTTATTCTCAACTGGTATTAGGAGGTGTTCAATCATTTCCCTCGATCTCATCCCTAACAGGTTGAGATTTACGACTTTAGGAGTTTGGCAAAAACTCATTACTTTCATTATGTTCAAGCATTCCTACACTTCGATGATGTAGGCCGATTTTAATACTCATCCAACTTTCATTCAACACATTTAATCGTCCATCCATGAAACACTTTCAGTGCGCTTTCCTCATTCTCCTCCTCCCTCCTAGAATAACTATAGATGAATGTTTGGGACCCCCATATCCATGTTGGGTGAATCTTCCAGTGGAGACAAATTTGTGCCCTGGGCCTATTTTTTTTGCCAGTAATAGAGAGATGTCAATTTTGGTAACCAGATTTGCACCGAGGTGATAAATCTTGCGCTGAATTGCATAATAGTTTGTCACATGGCACACTCAGACAGGAGTTACTGGTACCCATCCTCTTTGCCTTAAACGTTGCCAACAGAAATGTGGAAACTTCCGATCTACTCACAGTCAAACACCGTCTTTCCTAACATGGCGAAAGGCATATATGTTAGTTGCTTTGCGACAAATTTTCTACCTGTGAAATGTCTGGAAACTTAATGACAGCAGCTTCCTGAAATGCTTAATTACAACTTGTTTCTCCTTCCTCTCCTCTTTTGTTGGTAGTTTCTAGAGAATCGTTGTGATTGGAAAACCCTCTGAATTGTCTCCCTACTAAAGGCATTTCTAATCACAGACATTCAATTTTTGAAATTCATAAGTCTTGAAATGGTTATTAATTAAATTTGACACGCCATAATCTCAAAGTTAATGTCAATGAGTTTGGCCCGTTTAATGCTTCTGGTAGGTCAGTAACTGAACTTCCCTTCTATTCGTCACTCTACAGACCACACAAACTGACTCCGATGGAGTTGTTGGCACTGGAGCAACAAATCACTGAATTGGAACTAGAATTACCCCGTCGGGCAACAAACTACGAGTATGCAGCATGGCAAGTGAAGGACCAGCTTCGACAGGCCCGAGGTATTGAGATAAAGCTTTCACTCAACGTTCCTTCGACCGATGAAACCCGTCTGCTTCAGCACCGTGTCGCGCAAATCCGCGTCTTTCTGGAGCAGGTAAGTCAAGGTCGTTTAGTTTATTAGTTTTTTGAGTATGAGTGGGAGGTGGAATTCCATAAATATCTACTTTAATTTGGCACAGAAAGGTCTCAACGTCATATCTGCGTATCTGAACTACTTTAAATCAAAGCATGAGTGTAGCGCCTGAGCCTTTGCCAAAGACATTATAAGACTTATGTATTACAATCCCACAAGAGGACTGAAATATAATTAGCAGAGCTGACATGAGCTGGGGAGTTCCATTTATTCTTACACACAATTTTGAAAAATATTGCTGCTGCATAGTGTTCTCTCCATAGTGACCCTTCTTCCTCGACTACCAAGTTTTTCCATGAATTTTTATCAATCCCAACATGGAATTGGGATGAGATCCTATAATATCCCGCCCCTTGTTGGGCAGATTACGCCAGAAAAATAATCATTTGAAGGGTAGCGCCAAAGGCTTGACTATTCTCTACAAAGACAATCATCTTTTGAAAGTATTCTCAAGCCATGATCGTAAGCCGCTGGGTAACTTCGGTTTGTTCATCTCCGGTCATAATACAGGACTCGAGGTTATAGCCTTCCAAAAATCTGGCCATCTGCAGACTTATACGCCTTCCTTCTGTGTCGTTTTGACGTAATATTCAGGCAGTGAATGTTGCGATAATGCTTTCTTTTGAGTGAGTTTGCCAACACCGCACCAACTTTGGCGTTTGGAGGTGCCAGAAGGCACACTACTGCCGAAGCAGCTTTATAGTAGATGTACTTTTGTGGAAGACAGACCACGCCCTCATAGGCACGTGTGCTTAAAACGGATACCATTCCACTGCAGCAAAATGCCTCGCAATCTAACTTGAGATCATTAGAAGACACCCGCTCCTTCAAGACATGACCCTCTCTCGTATACCCACTTCAGTGAACCTTTTTTTCAGTAAGGCAACTGCTAGAATTTTGAATGCGTGACAGATTTTGTCAATTTACATGTATGCTTATCCTTTAATTTTGTAGGACTTCTTCAAAGAGAAAGGTAATGTAGTGTGTGTGTCTTTTCCTAACAAATAGCTAGCACCCACCCGTGGGAGGCTCGAATCTAACAATTTGAATAATTGCTTTTAGAACCCACGGACCGACCACATCGTTATCGTGGCAATTTTGGTGGGTTGAAACACTGATTGTATTGCATATTCTCTTTGCCTTTCTACTGTTAAAAAATACAATGGTCGGGTTGTTGAGGTGCTAGCTTTTGTTTTATCACACCTATTCAAACAAATTAATCACGTGTGTGCAATGTCACTTTGAGGAGTGGCGGAAATTGGGAATTCTTTTAAATACCCTTTTTTTCCACTTTTTAGCGATCCGTATTGGTGGCACGCTGACAAGCCGATCAGACGATTACTGTTCAGACATCGACTCGGGATCAGAAAGAAATGGTGATAAATTTAAACAAGGTTTGGATTGTTCCTGTAATATTATGGTTTGAGTAATTGTTCAGCCTCCTCAATTGTGCATGCTATGCGTCAATCTTTGCCTAATTGAGTTTGATCCTAATTACCAGCTAAACTGGAAGGTGAGGGAGTGTAGGCTGGAAGTGGTTAATGCCCCGTGACATTACTTTGACTATTGTAGATATTTTTTACCCATTTATCAATTGCATTTAATAGTCTAAAACCAACCATTTTTTTAAAAAAAGAGGGTGTGGCTGGGTAGTGAGGGCACAATTCAATGATTTGAAAAGTATCGGTTTGGCAGGTGATTTCCAACCAGATCACACTTCACACGCATGTGATAGATGGATTGAAATTGGGCTAGTTGACAGCGGTGTGCTCCGGTTGCACTATTGCTTTCGCCACCAGTGCCATATCTATGGGACGTGTCGGTCTTCTTACCTGCTCTCATATGTTACACATGTTGTCTATCAAGCCAAATTGTATCGTAAATGGACTGGTCAAGCTTAAGATAGCATACGATGGGTCTGCGTTTTATCTAACCCTTGAGCGGCAGTTGAATGGGCCAAGACGAATGACAGGTGGTGTGGTATTAGCACAACCGAACAACCCGGTTGTAATGGTCGATTCTCCCATGAGATTTCAACCCCTGCTAGAAATGTGTGTTTCCTAAGCATTGACCTCTTTTATTTGCCCAGGATCTGATAAAAAACCCATAATCTCACAAGTAGATTTCACTAGTTGAGTCTAATTTCGGCCTCTGTGTCTCCATCTCTCACAGTTGTGCCCCCGTGGACCCTGCCGTCCAAACCCTTGCAGAAAGACGATCATGGTAAGCACAGTCGGTTGTAATGTAGCTTGGTAAAAGTTGCTCGACCAATACGTTTCTGATTGGCTTGTCTGTTTGTTTATTTGTTCGCTTGACCTTGGTGTTAATTAACAACCATTACAAACCGTGGGACTTCTTGAAATTACCCGAGTTCCTTCGTAAATATTTTTCGCAAATTATTTCACTTGAAATCTGTTTCAAGATGCAAATTTGTTGGGTGGTTTGGGAATTACTCATAGTGTTTGTCAGATTATTTTCGCACAGTTGTTTTCAATCAGCACACACACACTATTTGACCTTTATATCTCTGCCATCATTAGCTTCCGTGCCGAAGTGGAATTCATCGTCCAAACCTTCACAGAAGGGTGGTCAAGGTAAGCGCAATTGGGCGTGATATTGTTTGCGAAAAACTTCTCCATCATTAAGCTTCTACAGTTGGTTTGCTTCACCTTGGCCTCGGTTGTTCGACAAAGACCACTGCAGGTATCTTAATTTTCGGGGTTTCTTCGTCGACACTTTTCGGGAATTATCTTTGAATCAGTTTCCAACTGTAGGTTAAGTAGACTGTTTGAGAATCACTTAGTGCACCTACCGAATTATTCCTCCACATGCTTTCTGACCTGCATACACTCTAGCTCATATACCTCTTTGTTCCTCTCAGGTTCCGTTCCAGAGTGGAATGCATCAATCATATCACAACAAGATGATCAGGGTAAGCACACTCGATCCGAATTGGCGTTTGTTTCTTTTACATGGCCTTCACTTTTAGTGGGAATCAGGGCGCTTGCTAAAATTACCCTGTTTTCTTTATCAATTTTTTTCTGAAGTTTACTCATCTGAGGTGAAGTTAGAAACCTAAATTTATCAATCGCATAATTTGGAAGCTTCGGTAGAGTTTGGCGAATCCAATTGATTTGTTAAACAATTTTCCACTTGTAAATGTGATATCGGCTAGAGTTTTTACGAATTAGACCTTTCAATCATCGTAGCAGTATCATGTGTTTAAGCACACCACTTTGTGCAATCACCTTGATGGATAAAATTGCACCCAGGGTTCTGCTACTTTTTAGTTCTAATGATTTTAACAGGGACATGCGGCTTTCTGTTTCGTTTAACATTGTTTTTTTTGATTGGTAATGAGTCTGTTGCCACATTTTCCCACTTTTTGAAGGACCTTACAAGTTAGCTTGCATTTGCGACTCATTCATCATACTTAATTTCTAATTGAGGGCCTCTGTTTGCTCATTAAGTTTTGGCGCAGCTTGATTTAAATAATTTTTGTGAGAATGGTCGTAGTCTAATCAACTCTATCTTTTTCCCTAGTCCAAAATAAGCCTTTTGTGTTTTGAATGTAAAAAAGAAAAACAATTTTCTTCATGAAAGTCAGGCAAGGCGTTGGCAGGGCTTGCCGCTGTGAATTAGAAGAGGTAGATTTGATCGAGTTTGGAGGCGAAGCACTTCTAAGGTGTCGTGTCACTCTCCTGACGCCTTATTGATTAGACATCCTGTGTGCCACCGACACAACGAGCCTATTTTACTCAAACGCCCCTGCCTTACTCAATGCCTTTTCTCGCTCCGGGTTGGTGCGTGTGTCTGCGTTTGTGTGTGTGGTGGGGGTACGCGAATCTACCACCCTGCCTTTTTGGCACAATTAATTCGTCGTTTTTCATTGTTTGCTCGCTTGCTGCTTCATTCCGTCATCTCACTGCGTAACTGTGCAATCAATCCGGCGCACAGAAAACTTATGCCCTTCAACCGTTTCTGATCCATGATCAGCTACTTATTCCATTATAAGTAGACAGCCATGGAGTTCTATTGACACTGAATTGGGTCAATTACATTGGTTTCCGATAGGTGCGATTGATTGGCCCCAACTTCTTAAATATTTTTGTGTAAATATTTTGGTTACACAGAAACACAAGTCACTGCAACTAGGAGTAGCTATCAAAATGCATTTTTAGCTCAAGTGTCTGATGAGATTTGTGGTATTTCTTTACTGCTTTTTATTACCAGCATTGCATATGTGTTTGCCTTGACCTTACTGTCTCAAACTGACGTTACAAGTGTGTGACCTACCGGAGTTTCTTGGTCTGAAATAATTTACAGTTTTTTAAGTCTTGCGTGACTTTTAACTGGTCAAAAGTCTAACGACAGTGGATGGCATTATTGGAGCTGAAGTGGTTGATTTTCCTCTGAGGGTCTGATAGCAAACGTGTTCAGCTGAGATCATATTTTTAAGGTGCTTGCTGCCTGTGTCGTCTGCAATTTCACAATGGAATTAGGCATTCCTCACGGTGAATGAGGTATTCACAGAACTGGTGTGGTGGTGGACTAGAAATGCTACGATCGAGATCATCACTGGCACGGCTGAACCACTCCAGAGCATTATGCCTACCCTTGTTCCTAGTGGACGCTAGATTTTTTGAATTGCCGGTAGCAAAGACTACCAAGTAATCAGTGATTCCTAATGTATCACTAGATAAAAGCACACCATCGCAGCCGCGGCAGCAGCCACTTCCACAACCTTCAGCAGCTCAAAATGCAACGCCAAATTCAGTGACTTCGTCATCGGAAACGGAGGTCCATGGATATGTGGAACATCCCTACCCCAGTGGCAACAAGCAACAGTTGGATCCGCCACAATCCACGATGCCAGATTTGCCCGAATCCCTTCTCCTCAATCATATGAATCAGCCAAAGTCGTTCACAAGTGACGCTTCCAAGAAACCGGCTACTTACAATCCAGATGCCTATCCAAAGTTCCCTGGTATGCGACCGATGGATTTCTTAAGCTTTTTTTGGTATAAAAATAACCACTAGTTGGATGGATAAAGGGATGAGTTAAATAATTGATTCATGAGCCGATCAGAGGTGGAGATGACGCTTGGAGCTGGGTGCGCCTGGGAGTAATAGTTGGTGGCTTTATAAATTTTCTGAAATGTTGCCAGTGGCATTCTCATTCATGGCACCGTTTTTTTAATCCACTTTACAGATCGTCCAATGAACCCACTCGCTCCTACCCAGCCGCCACCAACGTCCACAGGTTCCATTCAGGGTGGACTAGGTTATCCAGACGGCCGTGGCAGCGAGGAAATGGATCCTCCAGGCTTAGTAACTTCACCAAATGTTTGGAAACACGTTCTTCGCACGCCTGGACAAGATCCATCCGACCAGTTCGCCAAGGGTACATCTACTTGAATCATTCCCAGAGATGGTCCCTCATCTCCTCCTACACCTGGTTTATTCCTGAAGACGTTGAACTCGAGTCTCTATTTATGCTAATTACTGGGAGATTAGTAGTATAGGTGACCTAAGTGGGGCCCCCTGTAGCCTGTGTAGAAGCAGAATCGGATGGTACCTGAAAAAGCTCCCCTCCTGGTCACCCTTCTGCTCTGGACGTCACATGGGAGTAGCTTGCATCAAGACTACTCTCCGGACGGAAGCAAAGTTCTTGCAGTTGATTTCTTTGATATTTTTACCTCTCATAGTTAAATCTGCTATCGCACTACACTTTGTTTCGTTATGGACTGTTTTCCTTTCGCCTTAAGGTCGAATTCACGGACAGTTGGTCGAACCAGAGGATGTTCAACTAGCCTACCGACCACCAATTCAACCGAAGCCCAAAGTGCCCCCACGTGGAACCGCAGATCCTCGAATGGTAGTACCCGACTACTACGCTGGTGTTGAAGCTTCCCGTGGTCCGGGTCAGGATCCCAAGTTTTCCTCTCTCAAGGTCATCCAAAGCGGCTACACCAAGAAGCGTGTTGATCTCTTTGAAGCACTCTAAACACTGGCTATTCCTCATGACATATACACATGCTACCTTTTTCACGGTTCAAAGCTTACCTAGACATTGCCTTTCTTTCATGTAAACACTCATTTATTTGGCTACTCCTTTCTGATTCAGTACTGGTTCGATGGGTGTTCTCTAGTCGGTTGGTTATTTGGCTGGGAAACTCTGGGTTGGGGAGGGGAAGTTAATCAGTGGGTAATGAACTACCGTAGGCGTTCAAGCGGGTAGATTTCTAACACAGAAAACGCGCCTATCGGTAAGGCCGCTGGTCTGCTGGCATCAAGTCAACAATGTATTTTCGGTCTTTAGACTTGCCTACTTAATGTATTAAGTAGGATGTCGCGTCTAGGAACAATTATTGCCAGTAGAGTTGGTGTTGAAAAGCCACCTAAATTTGGAGCAGTCTTGATAGCTACCAGTCTGAAGTTTGCTTCCAGCATTCATTAGTATTTCTTCGAAGAGCTAGCTATAAAGCCATGAGAGAATTTCACTCATTAACCCATTCAGGAAACATTCAAACACTCATTCATTTCGACGTCATTTTCACCCGCCAAATCTCGCGTGGACGGTGAAACATTATTTAAGGCTGTTTCAATTTCTAGAGTGTATACATCCACTGAAAGTACTCACCTAGGGACGTTGGAGCGTACGCACACGAATGGGTTGTGAAAGAAGAGCCGCAGGCCGAGCCCATGCAGGCACCGGCCGTGTCGCCACTATGACAGTCAGTCAGGACACTTGGGATGACCAATACATATTTGGTGATGTCTTGTGAGGTAGCCATGACTCAGGCGGCAGACGGCCGTGTTTGGGTATGCGCATCGATACGTAAACCAGCTGTTTCCCACAGAGGTTTTGTCGTCAGCTAACAAAGCACCGTTTTCACTGACGAACTTGACTTTCGCCACCGTGTCTAGGCTCTACAGAGCTACAACGAGAACAGATGCGCATCCAAATTATTTTGACACTATGGAGCAATACCATGGAATTTTGGTGGATCATAACCCACTCCACTCCATATTCCTCAATTTCTTGTGAGATAGAAGGGGCGGCAAGCCCGCCAAATCCGCCTAGTTGCATTCAATTCAACAGAAGTATCATAGCTATCGATGAAAGTGTCAGCATAGCTGAGGTCCGAAATTGCAAATAAAATCGAAGTGAGGCTATGGCTTACATTCCATTTACTTCCATAAGACCTCTGGTAGGTATTAGTAATTCCACGATCAGTTTCGTGGACCTGACAACACAAAAGTAAGTAGAAGACTTTTGGGTTAAAGCGTAAAACATTCTAACCACACAAGTGGACCAAAGCGGACAGCCTGAAAGCAGGCATGAGAGAAAACAATTACACGAGCACGAGAACAGGTACCGGTGGATGTTAAGGACTTCCACTGGTTCAAAAAATCATTTGAAGACAGCGTACCGCTAGCGATATTGATGCTTCACGAATAAACGGGACAGCGAATAGCGACTGAACGGGATAGGCTTTGGGCGCATCTGCAACATTAAGGCTGCGTGGATTAGACCTCGTACTTATGGGACGATGGATGGAAAGAACCAACACAGAACCACCAGCCTACCCCACACGCCACGACAGGTCTAGTTTCAAAATGAGATGACGCTAGCAGGGAATCATCAACAGCAAGGTGCCACACAGAGACGCCTTGAAATGACCCACACACGCACAGAGGTGGAACCAGAAGCAACGGCAAGGGGGACCCCACAACTTAAACCACAGGATCCGGCGGCACTTCACCACCTGCATCCAAGCCTTAAAAACAGTAGGTCGAAGGATATAAAGTCCCGGCAACCCCACGGCAGTCCAAGTGGCGAACTCAAACATAAACACACGCTGCGGTACGATTACTAGCAAAAAGCAGGACACCACACCGGAAAGTACAGAAGCCTCGAACCAAGCCCCCTTCTAAACACAAAAAAAGATAACAGCAAAGACCGAAACCCACCCAAGAAAAATTAACAACGCCAATCAAGAAAACGAACACAACCCAACAGATGGAAAGTGATTCAAAATACCGACAAAAACTAAAATCATTTATTTAAAATAAAACAAGTAGAATTAACCGCCGCGG